GGATTTTTTTTGGGGAGATATATATGGTAGGAACTAATTAGTTTCAAAATCATTGGTATTAATAAGTGTTTGGTGTTTATTATTAATTGATAATATTTTAAATATTTTGTAAGCTAAATAAATTAAGAACAAAATATAATCAAATAATAGCTTAAAAAATAAATTTTCTCTAACATAATAAAAAAACCAAAAAAATTATAAAATAGAATTGTCAAAAGAAAAAAAAAAGTAAAAGTTAAAAAGAAAAGAATTCAATGCAGTACAAATAATCCCTGTCCTTACACTTTATACACTCTCACACACACACACACACACATATATATATATATATATATATTCACAACCTTTAATGAATCCATGTCTCACAGTCAACTCAATCGCCTACTCAAAGTCTTTCCATGCAATAAGTTTCTCTAAAAGCATATTTAGTCCTTCATGGGAGCTTACTTTTTTGTTCTTTTATTTAATAATTCAAAAAATTAGTCCGGGTTTTTACCCCGTCGTGATTACCTCAAGTGAAAAAATATTACAGTCCCGAAATATTTTTTTTGTTTAAAAAGATAATAAACTCGTTGAAATTTAATCCAACTTACTTATATACAGAATCGTTAAAAGAAGAAAAAACCAAGGTATGATTTACTAATATAGTTACTCCTATAATCGTTATAGAATATATGATTAATTTATATATATATATATTCTCTATATTAGTTGATTATGATTATTCGAGTTAAAGAAATATAGTTACTAAAATCACAATAATTTTTAAAAATGAAAGTTTAACCGTCATTTAAAGTCGTGAATTTAAATTAAATTGTGTACCGATTTAGAAGTTATTTGTGCTACCACAGTTTTCTCCATTTGTTGCCTAGGGTTGGAAATTGGACTGCAAGTTCAAAGCTTACTCTAATGTGTAATGGGCCAAGCCAGTTGCTCTAAGAAGAAGATATATTGGCCTAAAGATTTGCAGAATCCCATAGAAACCATGGGAGTTGGATTTTACTTTTAAAGAAGAAATGGATAAGCTCTACTTTTGGACATTGTTATTACGATTTTAATAAAAGAAATCTTCTATATAGTGAGTATATTTCGAGTAATCATAATGAGCTAATGCAGAGAAAATGGATAAGAATGTTTGCAGGAGTAACCATGTTGGTAGCTCATGACAGCATGCTACTTTTTTTTTTGTTCTTGAAGGATAAAAACAGTTGTAGGAATTTAAAGATGTATATATATATATATATATGTGTATTAGATGAGTTTATTTTTGTTGTAAGAGAGGAGAAATGATGGAATCAAAGGTTGATTTGAAGAAGAAAACCATTGTTAAAAGCTCACATGATTCTCCATCATTACTTGGTCCAGCATAAAATAATTCTCTTCTTCTTCTTCTTCAACACAAAGATAAAGTCATAAAGCAAAAGCAGAAACTAAAAAGAATACAAAAGCAGAAAACCAAAAAAGAAAACAAAAGAAGATTCTTTGATCGGCCATTAAGATTTACATTGATCTCTCATTTGAACTCCCACTAGAATTCCCATCACAGATCAATCAGACTCTAATGGATTCTTTCTTGATGATCATCACCCAGAATCCAAAACCACAAAACAAAAAATCACCATCATCTTCATGGTTTTTGATAATCACAACCCTAATGTCATCATCTATTTTCACACTCACAGCAGGCCAATCAAGTCTTTGTAGAACATCGTGTGGTGACATTCCCATAAACTATCCTTTTGGCATTGATGAGGGGTGTGGGAGTCCTTATTACAGACACATGTTAATCTGCTCCGACGCTGGAAATCTCGAGCTAAGAACACCTTCTGGTAAATACCCGGTTCGCAGCATAACCTATTCTGATCCTCACATTCTTCTCGTTGATCCTTTCATGTGGAATTGCCTAGATGGAGATAATTTTCGACCCACCAGACCTTTTAGCCTTGACACAAGCACCCATTTCACACTATCTTCTCAGAATGATTATCTGTTTTTCAATTGCAGTGACGACAATGTGATTGTTGAGCCAAAGCCTATTTTCTGTGAGAGGTTTCCTGAAAAGTGTGATTCTTCTTGTGACAGTTCTAGCTATCTTTGCAGACACTTGCCTAGTTGTGCTTCAGCTTTGAGTACTAGTTCTTGTTGTTCTTATTATCCTAAAGCTACTGAGTCTTTGAGGTTGATGTTAAAGTTCTGTGCATCTTATACTAGCATTTACTGGAGAAATCTAGGTACTACTGCTCCTTACAATCAGGTATCATACATTTACTCACTTTTTAAAATTTATTTAGAAAAAAAGACAAAATATCTGTTGGGTCTGATTAATTTTCATCTGGGTATTTGATAATCTGTAAAAATATTTGTTGGGTCTGATTAAATTTCATCTGGGTATTTGATAATCTCTAAAATATCTGTTTGAGTTTGATTAAATTTCATCTGGGTAATTGATAATCTGTAAAAAACAAGTGAATTTTTTCCCACTAATAATTAGGTACCGGAGTATGGGATTCGGGTTGATTTCGATCTCCCTGTCACTACAAGGTGCCTCCAGTGTCAAGATACAACAAAAGGAGGTGGTGTGTGTGGATTCAATGCAGAAACAGAGAGTTTCTTATGCCTTTGTAAGGAGGGAAATGTCACCACTTACTGTAACGGTATGTATATATATATATATATATATCTGTGTATTAGTTTCTTTAATTTGTATGCATATGTATATCAACCATACTGAATGTTATTTTCATGGTTTTAAATTTGCAGATGATAGGATTTCTAGGCACAAGAATGCTGGAGTAATTGCAGGTAATTTCATTATCCTGACCGAGTTTCATATATGATTAATCATGCATATACCTAATTAACTAGCTAGAATTAGTGTTTAAAACTACAGCTTATAATTGAAATATCTGTATATAACTAAGAACAATAATTAGATCAGTTTCTGGAGATTTAAATTGGATTGATTGAAAATACTTTAAATTTGCAGGGACGGTAACAGGAGTTTCAGCAGCTGGAGCCATAGGCATCGGAGCTGGTGTATGGTACTTGAGGAAAATAAGAGCTAAAGCACCAGTTACATGTGGGGTTCAAAGCAATGAGACAGGCTTTTTTAAGTATATCATCAATGGAATCATCTTTCGTTTAAACTTCGTATAATTATATACATATATATATATATATATATATATAAAAGAGAATGAAATAGAACTTCGAACATTACTGATTCGTTCACTTGGTTTACAATATTTGTTTTGATAAATTCATCTACCTTTTACTTTTTATGGTAATAGAACACATGGTTCTTAAAAATATTCAGATTACCAGTTACTTGTCACTAGATATACATATACATATATATATATTTTCAGAATTCATTCACTATTATTGGAGCTTATTGTTTATTTATCATTAGGTTTGCGTTCACCATCTACGAACTAAGAATTCATGTTCTTCATCCAGTTAACATATGTTATTTTCATCGTTGGCTGGTGAAATATTTTTATTGTCATAAATATCAGTGTTTATTACCAATGGACGGTGAGCTCTGTCCGAAGTTTGATTCATTAGGATAAATTTATATTTACCTACTTCTCTAGTACCCACAAATTTCACCCTTGAAATGTATTATACGTTGTTCAACCTTCATTCCCCATTAATTCATTGTATGTCACACCATCGTACATGTTATCACCTCTATTGCACGGATTCATGTACGTCGGTGCAGCCTCATTCATATACTCACCTGCATTGCACGGATTGATGTATGTGGAGTTCTTGGACTAGAAAATTTGAAAATATCTCTCTGTCTTTCTTCTTCGAACTCTCTTAATGGTTAAAAAAATAATTTATTTTCAGTCACAAGTTTATCTTTTATAGGTACTACTCTGAATTGATATTAACTATCTTAATCCGATTTAATATTGGTGTGTATATATATATATATATATATATATATATATTTTTTTTTTCAGAATTCATTCACCATTATTGGAGCTTATTGTTTCTTTATCATTGGGTTTGCGTTCACCATCTATGAACTAAGAATTCATGTTCATTATCCAGTTAACATACGTTGTCAATCTCTCTATTTTCATCGTTGGCGGTTGAAATATTCTCGTTGTCATAAATATTAGTGTTTATTACTAACGAACGGTGAGCTTCTTTCGGAAGTATAATTTATTGGGATAAACTTATATTCATTTGCTCATCTAGTACTCACGAATTCCACCCCTGAAGTGTATTATACATCGTTCAACCTTCATTCCTCATTAATTCATTGTATGTCACACCATCGTACATGTTATCACCTCTAGTGCACGGATTCATGTACGTCGATGCAGCCTCATTCATATACTCACCTGCATTGCATGGATTAATGTATGCATTGCATAGATTGACGTATGTCAATGCAACACCATTCACGATGGGTGCATTGTATGGCATAGATCCATATTATTAAGACATGAATATGTTATAGCATGATCCATTCCACTT